TTGGAGTAAGGTAACAAAATAATACATGAGAAAAGTTCTCTTCAGTTGTAGCCCTTGAAGCTATTTTACAGATCAAACTACAAAAACGTATCACAACTTAGAGATCAAAAGCCTTTGCTTATTAAAATATGTGTGTGTGTGTGTGTGTGTGTGTGTGTGTGACAAAACACCTGAGGCGATTATCTTCTCTGTTGTGTGGAACTTTAGAATTGTCAAGGCAAGACACAATAAATACCGAGGATTACTGAATAATTGATTCCCTTTGTGAGGTGTAATTAGACGAACTGCAGAAGCATCTCACCTCCTTTGTGTCTGATGTTCAGGGCAGGATGTGGGAACATCTTTAATGTGATATGAGAGTAATAATAACATATAATGCAGGAAGCGGGAATAACGACAACAGGAACTCTGTCTGAATACAGCTCACGTTTACCAGCTCGGAGACAGAATCTGCTGATGCACCTCTGAATGGAGACACTGAGCAGGAAGCAGACATGCATTATTCAGGGATGTTGCAGCAAACTATAAACCACAGGTCACGAACTCAACTGCTCCGACTGGCAGGGTGGAAATGAAAGAATAATGTGTCTTGCCTCCTTTAACCTCCAACCTGGAACAAGGTGCTTGACACCAGATGTTGCAGGTGGGTTTCCGAGTGTCGAGGAAAACACTGGGTACAGCAGGGTGTTGCATATTTGACAGAAACCCCCACTGATTTCCTCTACTGGTAGACAACAGCAGATTATCTGACTGATCACTTCATGGGTATCTCTCTCTTTTATTCTCCGTGCAGATGCAGAGGGAGCTGAACACCCGGCGAGGGGAGGATATCAAAGACGGCAGCTCAGGCAACAGAGCCATGCTCTCACCTCAGGACAGCCCCTGCCCAGCGCCCCGGTCGCCTCGCTCCCCGCGCTCCCCCTGTATGTCCACCCCTGTCCTGGCCCTTCCCACACGCTCCCACTCTGACTCTGAGGCCATGTTGGAGGAGCAGGGAGCGGCGATGAGGCTGAAAGGTCCAACGGAGAACCTGTTCCTGGACGCGCTGTCTCTGGACCCCCTCAGCGGCCTGGAGGTCCCTCCGCCCTCCAGACTGGAGAGTGAGAAGAGGTTCCCCTGCATGGAGGAGGTAACACACAGTCAAAACAAATCACCCTTAAGTTTGTGCCAAAGTTTTACCAAGAAGATGCTTCACATTATAATTATATTTCACTTAGACCTTTTCCACATGACTGAACTATTGTATCTGTTGTGTTCCAGGCCCTCAATGAGATTTCGGAGAGGGAAGGGGATCCTGGGTATCCAGAGGAGGAGATGGGCGGTGGGAGTCTGCTCAGGTAAAAAAGCTTCAAGTCCAAAAAAGGAGAAACTTTTTCAATATATCAACAGTAAATCATCTTCACTGTGAACTGGTGTGACTGGCTGCAGATTATGAAGCATCCTCCTCCTCCTGCTGCTGAATCTCATAAATACTCAATATTGATCCTTTGGGCAATCGGCTGTTGATTCTATTAACTGTTTCTTGAAGTGACAGTGAGTTTCCCCAGGTGATTTCTCTGAGACAGTTTCTCATATGGTGAGGAAGTGATCCAGCTCATTATGCTGCTAAATTATTCAAACAATTTTAAAACACTGAAAGGCAAAGAGCTGCTTCACAAAGAAAATATACAGGCACATGTTTTCTGCAGTGGGAATATAAAAAAGATGAGATCATGAAATGTTTGTTGTTGTCTTTGCTTTTTTAATGATCTCCATGTGTGTGTGTCTGTGTGTGTGTGTGTTCTCTCTCCAGGGCCAAGTCCGTCTGCTCCATGAGCGACTTCCAGAGGCTAATGGACAGCTCGCCGTTCCTCCCAGACAAAACTCGCCACGGGGATCAGGGCCAAGACGACGTCACTCCTCCTCTGTCTCCAGATGACCTCAAATACATCGAGGAGTTCAACAATAAGGGCTGGGACTTCCCATCATCCCCCTCTGGCTCGGTTCCTGCTCGGGAGGTGTGGACAGACAATATCTCAGAGACCCGTGGAGTCGAACCTGTTCCCGATCCCTTCAAGCCACCTTCCTGGTTCCTCACCACCAGCGCCACCTTGACCACCAGCACCCTGAGCAGCCCTGAGCACTGCCACAAGTCCCCGCTGAAGGGCAACGGAGCAGGGTCTGCAGGGGGGGGAGTGGAGCACTATGGGGTGCACCTCCTACACAGCCCCACCAGACTTGGAGGAGCTGAGCGAGCTACTGCCCAAGACCCAGAATTCCTGTACGCCAAGGGGACCAAAGCCAGGGGCGGAGGAGAGGCTGGGGTGGGAGCCAGTGGGCAAGATGAGGTGTTTAGCAGTGGGAGGTGGGCATGTGGGCTTCTGGAGAGTGGGGGGTTAAGGACTTCACCTAGTCAATCTCCCATCTGCCCCACAGTCGGCTACGCCTCGTCTCTGGAGCTTCAGCTCTCCAGGAACCTCAGTGACGACATGAAGGAGGTGGCCATCTCTGTGAGAAACGCCATCCGCTCTCCACCAGGGCCTGTCGTCCGGGACACCGCCTGCCAGACCAATGGATTCACCACACGAGGCACTCAGACCACCCAGACCATCAGTGTGGGTCTTCAGACGGACCTACTGAGGAACCTGACCAGCAGCCCCCACCGCTGCCTCACCCCGAAAGGAGGCAGCACGCCCATTTCCTCCCCATCACGCAGCCTGAGGAAGATTCAGTACTCTCCAGTGGTCCAGAACAAATTTGAACGACCTTGCTGCTCGCCAAAGTTTGGCTCTCCCAAACTTCAGCGCAAACTCTCTGCAACAAGTAAAACCGAGCTACCCAACACCAGCCGCGCCCCCACTCCCACCACACCCCAGAAGGGCAACAGCGAGTCGGCATGGGCTCGCTCCACCACCACTCGTGACAGCCCCGTTCACACCACCATCAACGACGGCCTCTCCAGCCTCTTCAACATCATTGACCACACCCCGGTGGCCTACGAGTCCATGCAGAAGTTCAACAAGTCCCCCAGTCGCTCTCGCCCCACACCGCCCCCCACCACCGAGCCCAGCCCTGCTCACGGGGCTCTCGCCACAGACCCCAGAAATGTGCCGGAGTGCTTGCGAATGGCCAGAGGGCGTTCACCCAGCCCTGTGCAGCTGATAGTAGAGACGCAGGGGGACAAAAACTCAGAGGTGGTGAGCATACGTCAGGACCTGTCCGCCCCGCCGGGCTACACGCTGGCTGAGAATGCAGCACGCATCCTCAATAAGAAGCTGCAGGAGCAGAACCTCAGAGAGGAGCGGAGGCTGCAGGCCGGAGGACAGAGCGGCCACGGCAGAGACGACAGCAGCAGACAGCCCGACTCAGACAGAGGACAGTCTGCGTGTATGGAGGTAAATATAGAGATGCACCGGATTCAGCGCTTCTTCATTCATTTAATCTGGGGGCCATGTTTTATGACACAAGGACGTTCATGACTCAGTCCTGGGATTTTTAAATTGTTCATGACAAATTTTAAAGGTTTCATGAATCCCCACCAAAAGCCAAGCTACGTTATATTGTGCAGCATCACTAAAATGTTCATGCTTCTTTCTCAGATGGAAAGCACTGACTGATGCAACGGTAACGTTCAAATATTTAACCCTCATCAGTAAGACTCCACTTTCTTCTCTATATTCGGGTTCTTAAAAGTTCTTCTTCTTCTTTCCCTTCCTCTTCATCTTCTTCTTCTTTGTCTTCTTCTTTGCTGTAGTGACCTCCTTATAGTTTGGCTTTTACTTCTGTGCTTAAATAAACCGAATCGAGACATTTAATTACCGCAAGTGGAATCATAGTTGTACACAAAGTTGTGTAATTCAATACATTCAATAAAAAGTTCTAATTTAAATGACAGATCCATCCATCCATCTTTCTGTTAGCGTTTAAATCATGAATCAGGAAGAAAAATGCTTTCAGCATTCAATCTCTCAACGGAAAGATTAAAACTTCACTCCAAAATGGGTCACGCTGTATTAAAGCTGTACATTAAAACAATTGTGATGTACTTAAGCACGCAGAATGTCAATACTGAGTAGATACACACAAAGACAAAAGATTCTTAACAAAACCATTTATGTTTACAATTGATGAGACAAATAAATAAGTTTCAATATGAGTTAAACCTTAAATCAGGGTCTACCTTGCATTCCTGTATTTGCAGAAGTAGTCAAGTCTGTAACCTGTACGGTGGCCAGCCACTAGGGGGTGATCAATACGCTTTGGCTTCACTTTTGGGGAGCTGTCGTCAGTGTTGCCACATGTATGATAATTAATGTGTATGATCATTTTGTCCTCTGTACGACGTACGATCAATAACACATGATTGTAATCTGGATCTCAAAATAAGGATCACATGTGTATTTTACGCATCTCTTCTCACGTGACGTCTTTTAAGCCAGTGATGCTCGTGATGATGAATGTGACCGTTACATGGTGACTCGCATCTCAGAAGCTTAACACAAGTCTTTCCCGTCTTATGTTTCAAAATAAGAGCCTTGAGCCTTGCCCCTAAATCGCTTGGGAATCTCAACACAGCTTTAAAACATCGGTATTGAGCATCCCATCCTCAGTCGTGTATGATACTTCAACATTTCCCATCTGGCAACGCTGGCCGTCATGTTTATTTTCAGTCTATGCTTCTGAGGGAAGTGGTCACCTCTGTTTAAAGCTAAGAGTTTTAAATAAAGGTAGTCACACACAGCCAGTGGACAGTTAGCGTAGCTTAGCATAAAGACGGGAATGCCTGGCTGTGTCCGAAAGAGACAAACTCCATATGCCTGCCGCTCAGTGATTAACAAGTCATATCTTGTTTATTTAATGCAAATTGAAAACCGTAATATGATACGACAGCCGTTAACTGAGGATGATAATTTGATTCATTAATTGAGTTGAATTGAAATACCTGTTATATAAATTCTGAATATAATAAAGCACCTTGATTTAATATCCAAGGTTACTCTAAGTTAGTCCGGCACACTGACTGGCAGAATTACAGCTTCATACAAAAGTAAATTCTCCACCCGTAGATTTTTTTCACAGTGCATCTCTTCATATTGGCCAACCCTGCTTTGTTGTGTGTCTCATACTGAATACTGTCTGACCGTCGTGCATCTTCACCAAAGGTCAACCTCAGATCTTCAGATTTTGCAGGTCTAAAGTGAATGAGTGTGTGTTTCCTGTTATCTGTGTGATCTGCAGGCTGGAATCAGCCGCCTCAGTTCTCCTGGTCAACCTCTCTGCCCTCTGACATGCCAGACTTATCGTGTATCTCCTCTTCCTCTGTGCCCGATTTTACCGATTAATGTTTCCCACTCTATCTTCCCTCCTCCTCCCCCCCCTCTCTCCCCCTCTGGGCTCTTTCTCCTCCTCCTCCTCTTCCTCCTCCCTGTCCGCTGTGCTCTGATCCAGAACCACACTGTCATACTAACAACTCCTTGGGGACTCTAACTCTGCCTTTCTCCGTGATGTAAGTTCCTCCTCTTCCTCCCTGACCTTTGGCGGTGGGTTCACCGACCACATGGACCTCTCACCTCACCCCCTGCAGACCCCTCCCCCTCCTCACCTTGTTCATTAATGCATGCTTCACAGGAAGGCAGAGTGACAGTGATCGGAGTGGTGTCAGAAGTTGTGCGATGGTCATGTCTCTGTTTCTCTTGTGTTGATGTGTGCATGTTTATTTGGTACAGACCATCTGTTTTTTGAAGGACCATACTGGTGTTTTTGCATGTTTTAGTCCATTAACCATAAGTCACATTTTCTAATATCATACCATACCATACATTTCTATTACATGAGTCAAGTTAAATTAAATTTCCACCAGTTCAGGAGGAAAATCAACTTCCAAAGCCTTGCACGTCTCCTGTGAGGTTCCATCTAATACATACAAAAACATATCGTAGTGTTAGAGAGCATCAGACAAACCTAAAAAAACACAATGTCGAAAACTGAAATATGTACAACACAGATCTGATGACATTTTTCTTATTAAACGCCGTCTTTATTCTTGTAATATGACAACATTATTCTCAAAATCTCAAATGAGTTTTCTTAATGAAGCAGTCTTCAAATTTTGTCAAGTTGGTTGTCAAACCTACAGAAAAGGAATTAAACCAGTTTGGCATTTGAGTAAAATAGGATTTGTCACGAATGGATCAGATCCTGTAAAACCGCTGGTGTGGTCCTTTAAAACAAACTGACAGTCAAAGAGTCTTCAGATTGTGTCCTGATTACTGACAGAAGTACATGTTGACATTTACCAGTGTGTGGACCAGTGAGCACGACACAAACAAGACGACTCTTTTGGACTCGTTCCTCAGCGCAGGTCGATTGTTGTCTCTTTGGGCTGCACGCCGTCTGATCTGCATTATTCTAACTCTGTGTTTTTACCAGGTTCTCCTCTTACTGTCGACATGTGTGCGACTGGATGGGCCTCGATGTTCTCTTGTTACTTTTACTTTATTCTTTTCTCCTCTTGCAGTTTCCCCTCATCATTTCCTCTCACACTAACCAGACCTTTAGCATATAAACTGATGGAGGCAGCCGCTAACACTCATCACTTCCTGTGCACCCTCACCTCACGTGGTTATGTGGGATTTCCGGTGATGATTAACTGAATATGCTGGTACATGTTGCATGCTTAAAGGGAAAATCCACTTTTATGCAGTTATGTCCTCAGTGTGTGACGCGCCCGAGGAGCACAGGGTTACAAACACTTCAGAAAGAGGCAAAGGAGAGTTTGAGGCTGGATATCACAGATAAGTGAGAATACAAAATGTGCCAGCGGGGGGGGGGGGCATTCCAGATACTTTGGCTTTCTTTTGGGGAGCTGTCATTCTGCCATCTTTATATACAAGCTATGTCTCAATTCAGAGGCCGTTTCCGAAATGAGATGGTTTGGTCTACAGAGGATTTGCGTTATCGGCGTCACCAGCTTTCCCGCCCGTATTGAAATGGTTCATCACCGAAGCACAATGAATCCAGGGATCATTTGGGGCAGGGAAGGATCCAGTCTAGTTGCTGCTGTGATGCAATCGGTCTTCAAATGCAGCCTCTGACAGCTCCAGCCCCTGAACTGAGACACAGCTACAGTCTATGAAATCTATTCCAGGGGCTGTTTTGGTATCGAATGTTAGCCGTTAGCTCTTTGTTTTCTAAGACCTGAGGAGATATTCTTCAGGTTAAAAACACCTTCTTCCTTTTTTTCTCACGGTGATTAGAAAAGTAGTCTCAGCACAAAAAATTGTTTGAAAGTGGATTTTTCCTTTAAGGCCAAAGCATCTTCTGAGAAGTCAGGGTTAATGTGACTTTATTCACGTTGCTGTTTTCAGTGGCCTCTGCTGCACACTGACTTCCTGTACACATTACTGCTGCATGATCTGTGGCGCTGTGATGTATCAGCATCACACAGGAAACCTCGTATTAACCCACAAGCCCATCAAACCACGACTGGTCTGTTTTTCCGGTGTGTTCGCTGTCCATCGGTTGCATTCAAGAACAAATGATTTATTGATGGAGACGTTTATTTGACGCAGACGCCTCCCATCCATCCCTCTGACTTGTTTTCCCGTCGGACTTCCTGCAGGTTGTCTGACGCATCGGCCACTGGTGGATCCATCCCACACATTTTCATTTCATCCTCTCACGCCACCACAAGCCTCGTGTATTTTTAGCAGAACTAGATTGTTGCTCTGTGCGCTCGATGTCCTTCATCTTTTAGAAATCTAACACCTGGAGGTGAACTATTTATACATCAGGCCAGTGGTGTGATCATTGAGACTCTCTGACATCAATCTGAGAGAGAAAGAAAAAGTTCTCGGACACTTTTAACTCTTCTCATCGTCCTTTTTTTCTTTTTCATCCAGGGAACAAATGTGAAACGCTCCTCGTAGTGTCATCGCCATTAATATATGTATGTGTCACACCATAAATGTGCACACACAGCGTTGAAACAGATTTGTAAACTGCTACGTTTGCATTGTTCTGTGTTTTACATCATCATAAAGTCCATGTGCATAATGAATAAATACACGAGGACACACCCATGTGCAGATAGAAAACAGCTCCATCCTTCACCTCACACCTGCTGTGTCCTCGAACACACCTGCATGTGCTGCGAGACAGAAGCATCGGAAGGTTTCACTCCACCGGAGCTTCTTCCTTCTCATTTCACTAATGCTGCGTGATGGATGGGAGAGCGTGACGTGATCAGACAGCTAAAGATGTCGGAGTCAAAAGATGCTGAGCTTTGTGACTATTCATTAAATACTATGTACATTAGATTTGGTTTGAATCGTCTTGGTCAATGGACTTTAGAGGGAGATGTTTGGTTTTCAAGTCAGTTTTAACTTGAGTTGTTATTAGTTCTGCTGGAGCTTGTGTTCTGTTCCGTCCGTTTGTTTGGTATTAGCAAGATTATGCAAAAACTGCTGGACTGATTAATGTGAAGCTTGGTGGAAGGATGCAGAGTGGGTCCAGGATTACTGTGTTATTCAACATTCTCCTTAATTTCTCAGAAAATAAAAGACTTCTGTGAATGGACGTTTTACAAGTTGGTCTGTGTTTCCTTAAGTTTGATTAAACGCAGAGTTGTTGTAGAGGGACGAAGTGAGACGCTGTGACAGTGAGCCAGCAGGTCCTGGAACAGTTTTTAATCAGTACACGACTGCAGACAGTGTTGTTCAGATGACCTCGTGTTTACCTGAGAGGTTAAAATGTCGGTGGCGTGGCGAGAAGCATGAGGACGGTGTGCAGCAGTTTGTCTGTGATCCTGTGGGTTTTATTTGTTTATTTTTCCTTCAGCTTTAAATGGATTTATCTGTTCTTTTTCTTTTCATTTGCATTGACTTGAACAAAACGACACAGGGACGTGTTTCACCGCTCGCCGTCCTCTCATCGTACATGTTAAAGTTTAAACTAAAATAATCAAACTACATCATGATCGGATCTGTCTTAGTTTATCCAATTGATATGAAGAGACTAGAGACACTTTCTACTCCTGGTGAGACAGCACCACTAAATGCAGCCCGAAAAAATCAGATCAAACTTTCTAAGCAATTATTTGAGGATTTGAAGGAAAACAAAAGATCCAGAAAACTCATCTGAAGACGTCTTAGGCTCCATCTAATGATTGTTTCAACACCATTGAAATGATTATTTAACTCTGGAATAATCCTCTTCTTCAACGTGGTTCCTCACTGCACGCTGGTCTGCGTACACCTTCACTTACACCTGAACTTTCATCCTCTCTTTTCTGAGTTGAAAGTGAAACATTCCTCCTTTTGGTTTGTGCTCATCGTTTTCTACATCTGACCCCCCCCCCCCACCTTCCATCGCTCTCTTTCATTACGTTCCTCAGTTTGAATCTGTTTTCCTGTGGACGCCTCGTTTGCCCCCGCCCTCTCTCTGACTCCTCCTTGTCATTGGCAGGACCTGCCCCGCTCTCCCGTGGCTCCGCCCCTGGACTCCTGCTTCCACAGACCGGCCCGCCCGGCCAACCGCAGACCCCCGTCACGCTGGGCCACCCGCTCCCCCTCCTCCTCCCCCAAGGGGTGCGAGGGCTCGAAGAGGAGGTTCAACTTCCCGCCGCCGGGTCAACGGAAGACCATCCTGGAGGGCGAGGAGCTGGCGTGAGTCCGTCCTCTACCTCCTCTCGCCCTCCTCCACCTCAGCCTAGAAAGACCCAGTACCTCAGAAGCCCCTCCCCTCCAAATATAGAGACTCCCTCAGAGATGGAGCCTGACGGGGGGGGGTGGGATACACCCAGTAGCACCAGCCGACCATCGAGGAACCAGAACTTCTTCGTAGAAGAACCTGGAATGTACTGTAGTCTCATCAGTTAAGACACAAAAACTACATTTCCATAAGAGGTGCCTGCACACACTTAAGTTAATCATCATCCCACATGTGTGTATATATATATATATATGTAACTGATACACATATATATATATTAAACTTTAGTAACTGTCTGTCAGCTGTTGCATTTGTAAGTTTACATCATTATTTTTCTCATGTTTACACTTTTTCTTCTTCTTCTTCTTCGTCTTATACGTTGTCCGACATCGATTCATGTTCAAACTGTTTTTTGATAAAAAAGATTCTTTCATTTATTTTGTTTTCAGCGTTTGAAGCTTGAACTTTCTGTTGAGTTTCAGTGAGAGAGAGAAAACAACACAAACAAATAAACAAACAAAGAAAAAAAAACACCTGCTTCATCGGGGCTGAAGCAGAGACACATGATGTCATTTCTGATGCTCTTGTCCTCATTTCTTTTTACACTGGGTTGAATGTTTGGCTCCGTGAACTTATGCATATTCTGAACGGAAGGCAGTTGTACAAATATCAGTGAAATATTTGCATGCCTTTTCAACACTAGCATGTACATACGAGCTCTTGTCATTTGTGATCACTCAGCTCCGCCGTGAGGAAGAAGATAAAAAAACAACGTTGTGCTGGAGTTTTTGTTTGTCACATGATTTGCAATGACGAGAACAAAAACAAGTTTTTAAGTCAATTATTGTATCAACCAGACTGTCTTTGTATAGTTGTTACTATTGGATATGAATTACTTTGTCTTTTGACAAGAAAAAGGGATTGTGGGGAAAAAAATATGAATGTTTTAAATGAAGAGTCTACGTCAAAAAGTCTAATGATCTATAGTCATATGTAAATAGTAAATGGTAATAAACATGAATGTGTATTTACAAGACTACTGTCTCCTGTGTGTGTGTGTGTGTGTGTGTGTGTGTGTGTGTGTGTGTGTGTGTGTGTGTGTGTGTGTGTGTGTGTGTGTGTGTGTGTTTCATTTGCTGGTCATGTTTTATATTTATATCTGTATGATAAAGGTTAGATACAGCTCATGATAGATTATACGCATTTCATTAGACCCGTGTGTGTGTGTGTGCGTGCGTGCGTGCGCGTGTGTGTGTGTGGATTACAGTGCAGACTGCAGGATTACAGGGGTCAGGGGTGATAGACACACAAACACACAGTGAATGTGAATAAGAAGATTGTGTCCTCCAGAAGTCAAATCCTCTTGCATCATGGTCATACATGTGCCACCTTACTCATGTCCCGCCGCTTGTCACGCTATACAGATAAAGTCAGAAAAGCCTGGACGAGCTGTCTCCTTGATATTATTTTTACATACCATGCAACTCATTTGCAAAAGAAAGTATTTACGGAAACAAATCACGACCGTGTCCATAATATTTCACATTTGATGAATGTATTGATGTGTTGTTAATTTATGAGGAGAGCTGCTGTAAACATGTCGACTCTTAACTTGAATGTATTTTGTTTTCCACCAGTATCTGATCCTGCAGTTTAATATCCTGTGGTGAAACTTTTTCAAGATGTTCAGATATTCACAGAAAACCATCTTTCAAAAGTGCTTTTGTTGCATAAACCCTGACTTTGAGATTAGAGCACTTTATTAAGACTCTACGTTTAGTATAAATGCTCATAATCATTAATAACATGAGAGAAATGTGAGTGAATCTTTTCCACACAGTATAATATTTGAGGACTGCCTCCTATGAGTGCGTCCAATTGTTTGAGTGTTGGCTGTAAATGATAGGAGCTGATTCTGTGAAGCAAAAGGTCAAGAAATGAGACCAGATTTTGGTTTTCATCAACCTGGAGTATTTTCACGGCAGCAGCAGGTAAATGAAAAATATGTCCTCTTGTCATTTAGGTGAACCAGCCTTTTAGAAATACTTATAACAAGCATGTATGTTTGAGGAGCAGGAGCCTCTTCAGTGTGATGTTAGAGACAAACATCTTTCTCCTCATTGTCTGACTCATTTTCATCTTTTACAAAATGAAATCCGAGCGTTTCAAAGTGTCGTCTTCTGCCGCAGAGCTCCAGGTTTTTATTGGCTCTGGGGGAGAACATCAGATGGAAGGAGGTCGGTGAAGTAGGGAGTGATAAAGAGGCAGCACCAGAGAGCTGAAGGCCTCCGTATACCTTTCACTGAGTTACAACCATGAATTATTCATGCAGGCCGGCAGCTCGCTGGGAGCCGCTGATGGCACAGAGCGGGTCGGCGGAGGGAAAGAAGATGCTGCTGCTTTTTTACCTCCATCCGCTCCGAGAGAAACCCACCCCTGCTGAATAATTCACACCAGCCCTGAGAAGACACACACACACACACACTACACACACGTGTGCTCTCTTAACTCTGGACTCTGCTTTAATGCAGTGAGAGCTGCTGCAGAGGAAACGCTGTGACCTCTGTGAGGAGGAGACGTCACGTCCACGTACAGGAGATGTGACGGAGGAGGAGGAAGCTCAGTCATGTAGCTCCATTTAATTTCAATTTAATGCCATTAATTCCCTTTCATAGTGTAATTTGATCCTGATGTTAGAAAGCGTCACATGACCACTGATAAAAAAAAGCACAAATAGGATTATCTTTGTTTTGAATCCAGCTCATCTCTGAAACTTTGCCTTTCTACGTTTGTGTCTTTGTCTTTTTCTTTTCTCTTCCTCGTGTGTCTCTGCCTCGCTTTTCTTGTGATTCCCTCATGTGTGGTTTCATGTTTTATTTTGAAACTCTGGTCTCCTGTCAGGACACTTCACTTCCCCTCGTCTCCTGATCACCTGCACCCTCATGTGTCCCTCATGTGTCTCACCTGCGTCTCATCATCTTCGTGTTTCTCTCTTGTCTTTGTCAGTCTCTCTGTTCTCACGTCTGATTTTCCTCCAGCTTCAGTTGTTTTCTGTCGTGCGTCTGTGTTATTCACCTTCACCTGGAGACTGTGAGTCTGTTCTTTTACTTTTCTCTTGTTAAACTCACAAGCTTCCATGTCTGGGGTCACATCTAGGGTACGGATGTGGGCCACTTCCGGCACTAGTGCGGCACTTCTGGCCTTCTTGTGGCAAAATACAGCCCAAATATGTCAAAACAAATGTGGGCCTGTTCTGGCAGACATGTGGTAAACTGCACTCTGGTGAACCTCAAGTGGCCCACGTGGTAAATGTGGCACAAAAGCAACACAAATCAAATTCAGGCTGCCTCTGGAACCTTGGGTTGACATGTGGTGTTGCTGTGGTTTACTCGTGGCCCAGATCTGGCAAGTCGCGCAAAATAATATCAGAGTTTCTGATGTGTCAGTGCGTCGTCTTCACTCTCTGATCAAACCCGGGGTGAAGAAGAGTTCAGGTGATTGTGGATGTCAGTGTCAAACCAAGCTTCATTAGAATATTTGCTCCGACGTGGGACTGTGATTGAAACATCCCTGTTGTTCTGTGTCTGTGCGTCTCTCTCAGACTATTTGGAGCAGTGTCCCCTCGTGTCCCTGAGTCTGTGCGAGTGAACAGACGAGACAAGCCTCTTGTTTTCTTTTTCCACTTGTCATGTGGATTTCCTCAGCTGAATCTGAGCACCGAGGGTCAACGTGAAGGGTTGAGATCTAATGGACGTCGCACTATAAAACTGAGTTCATTTTATGGGCAGACTGATGTTTCTGTGTCTAAAAGAAATGAACCAGTTCTATAAAAGTAGAAAACTGTCGTCTGTGCACCTAAATATGAAAACAGAAGAAATTAAACTTTTAGATTAAAAAAAACAACTTTCCCATGTCATTAAAAATCTAGATTTCTTTTCTCATTTACCACAAATAATAATTTTAATCAGAACATTTTATTTTTGTTTTGTTTTAAAATGTGTGTTTAGTTTTTGTGTATCCGCTTAGTTTACATTTATTTCCTCAAGACTCTCAAGACTTCAGGCAGAAGTTACCAGGTGTAATAACTTCACGGATAGAGAAACCATCTTTAAAGCATTTAAAGTAATAAACTGTCACAGTGGAAAATACTGTCACAAGAAAAACGATGAATTGAAACTCAATTTAATAAGTGAAAGTATCTTCTGGTTGAGTGAACTGATCTCAAGACAGTTCAGTAACCTCATGAACAGTCTGACGTGGATGAAGATGTGTTTTAATCTGTTTTAGTGAGCTGAATTAACCTCAGAGGCTCCGTGTGCAATCTGTCAAATATTGGAGCCCAAATCCCTCACAGGCCTGCAGCTGTGTGCAAAGGCCTCAAACAGACAATGAGCGACACAATGGGCCTGGCTGTGCCATTAGCCGGGAGGTTGTCATGCCAACAATACAAAAAGCCCCCTACTCGGCTCAGGGGGAAAAAAGTTTGGCCACGAGGAGAGTTCATATTGAGCGAGAGCTTTGCCAGGAGGCCCTTCGCTTCTCCTCACTTTCTGTTACATCATTATTCATGTGAGGGAGAAAAGCTCCCGTCAATGTCCGCAGAGCGGAGCGGTGGCAGATAACCGTGTGTCTGAGCCGCGGGGGGGGGGGCAGCGCGGCACAGGACGGGTGTCTTTTTGGGAGGGGGGGGTTTTTTAGCTCCACAAGAAATACACTATTGTGTAGTAAACAGGCAGATCCATTGTGTGGAGGAGTGTGACGACCGTTTGAACTCTGAACTGAACCAGCAGGGCCGGCGCTCGGACTGGAGACGAATCACAAACAGTACGATGAGAGAAAAGAAAACACGAGAGCATCTCAACATTACTCTCATGTGGAGGTCCCCTCGTATTTTCTTTATTTGTTGTTTACTCAAGTGAATTAGTTGATTCAACAATTTAAAAACACTTAAACTCAAGTGAAATCTACTTCAACAAATAAGTTTTACCCTCAGATGTACTTCAAGTATTTAAAGTCTCTCACATCTGTGGTTGTTATTTTAAACAATATGAGGTGATTTGTGGACTTTGATGGTTTAATCTGATATTTTATAAGTTGGTTGGTGGAGGGATGAGGTCTGTGTCAGGAAAGAACTCGTGAAGTCATTTGTGTGTGTGTGTCATTTGCTGCAGATCCGACACAAAACGTGGATCTGGTGAATTTAAATGTGGTTTCATGAGGAGGCTGTTGAGCGTTGGTGGAGGTTTGAGCTCTCGTGTCATTCTGGTTTCAATTCACTGGAATAAAATGATGATACGAACGTCACTTTAATGTCACAGCCGGGAAATACGAGGCTGATTTTACTTACTTTATGCTTGTATCAAAGTTTTATCCTTATTCAGTTGTTAACTATACAAGTCTTTCAATCCTAATCTGAAAGTGCTCCCACTGTGTCGGTTCATTTAAGATGGAAATATTTCCCATCTCCCCCTTTGTTGCTGCCCTGCATCATTTGAAACTGTGGCCTGTTATTTCAGACCCCAGCATCAGCATTCTGTCCAACAGGGGGACAGTTATTTCCTCCGCACTCCCTGTTATCTGAATGTTTCCATGTCTACGAGGAGCGATGACACCAACTCTAACTATGTTCTGCAGATGCAACAAACATTTCAAACATGAGTCGTCTGACTTAAGTTATTGCAGTGGAGTCTCTAAATTGGAGTCTAATTGAAGAGTAATGTTTAGTGTAATTGGTTCAAAATAAAACTTAAACAAAACATTTATTTTTATTATTATTATTATTATTTTATTTTTATATTAAATTCAGACTTGCAGTTGAACTCCACCTTGTTATCTTGAAACCTGCGCTCATACAGTGTTGGATGAAAAACGTGCGACCGGCTTCAGGTTCAGTTAAACCATCTGTCCGTCTTTTCAAGAGCCAAAACAAAAAGATGCCGTTCACTCTGTGCCTCCCTGGTTCCTCTTTTGTCTGCGTAATTTGCTTTGGACGTGCCCAATAC